AAAAAGGAAACGTCTTTCACCCTGTGAGCACTTAGCCGCAAAGATAGTCACCAACCCCAGGCAGGTCGTAGGAGGTTTAAGACGTGTGATACTTTAACACCAACGGGCGATTGCCGCCGACTTATACCGCCGCTAAACTTAACCTTGGCAGTATCCGATTTCTGGGAAAATATCTAAAGTCAGTCAATGAGGGGCTCGATCTCCCTCGAGTAACATTCATGAAACGCTAGGGGATCTCACTATTAAGCGGGGCAGGTCATACGAGCACAGACGGACTCAACAGTACGATGAATGCTCAAATGTTCCAAGAGGCGGCGCCAAGTGCGCGGACATAGGCGTGAAGAACGCCACTCCTGGATTAACACACTCCTCAAATCCACCCAGTGGGCGTTCAGTTTATGCGTGTCTGCTTGTGCCTTGTTGTGTCAGGGGGAATAGGTAAGATGGTAGTTGGTAGCCCTCCCAGTACCGAAAACACCCAGCTACCTGACTTACGGGACCGGTGGTAATAGGGGCTATACAGGTGGGGCAAATGAGTGAAGGCGTAAATGGCGCTTGTAGGCAATGCACGGAATTGACGATCCTAATAAAGTGGAAACCTAATTTAACTAAGGAGAAAAATGCGAGGAAGATGAAAACTTCGGGTCTGACTGACGTATGAGACGCCTTGCTGTTGTAGTCTGAACCCAAGTGGTAGTAAGTGCGCGATGTGGTATGTGAAGTGCGCCCAGTTCAAACCCAGCAATGTCGAAGCGCCCGGGGAGGGTGCCGTAGTGCCTTAAGCTGGAAGTGCAGGAAGGGATCGCTAACTGGCCAAGGCGGTGTTTACAAGGCGTCACAGTTTTCAGCCAAACCCCTGCGACCAAATACAACCGGGCTGTTCGTAAAGGCGGGAGGTGGAGGACAACACTCTGTCAATACGACTGATGCAGTGGATGGAGTATCGGTAGGCACCATAACTTAGCGTCGGTTGTCCTTTCGTACACGATCGCACCGGACTCTACTGGAGGTCTGGAGTAAAAAGACCCAAGGATGCAGGCAAACCGACGAAACGGAGACCCGCGCCAATCCGCCAAGGATAGTACCTATGCAATTAATCTGATGCAGGTAATACTGTGCGCACATGCAACTAGATGCACAATGGGAAGCATGATGAATTATAATCCGTTTAGGATAAATCTTTCGCCTTTTACTAAAGATTTCCGTGTGGGGGTGCAATACAATGAGTCTATATAGACAGTCTTGCAGCGCCTCGTTCTCGGGCGGTTAAAGTGAAGAAGAAAGTCATCCTGACAGGGCCTCTGTGCGTGCACCCCCCCAGACATAATGAGAACGTTATCACAGATACCGAAATCGAGCCAGTAGGTACAATTGTAAAATCAGTGGGCAGGGCTACCAACTACCATCCTGCCGGGGAATATGCTTTTTATGGCAGACATATTCATAAAACGCTGTGAGGCACTCTGCCTATTCAACCTAATACCCCAACGGCCACAAAAAAACCATTTTTTCAGGTGGGTCTGCAGCACCTGCATGACTTCATTTCTACCGGGCTAGCCGGGCAAAGCCTCGACTCATGAGCGAATTCGGCCACCTGGTTAACCTCCGTAAGTCTTGCTCCACTCAGTGGTACTCTGAAGACAGGGAACAGTAAAGCCGCCATGAGGGGCCCACTTGAAGCCCCCCGGAGCATGTTCACGAGCCTGTTTCTGAAACGCGACGCTCCCTTCTGTTGCTTGGTCCATCATTATACCATCCCATCCCCCACAGATCATACCACAACATTCTTGTCCTTATTTCTCATGCCTTTCTATTTTTTCCCCAAAAATGTCATTTTCAAAGAAAATTTGTACAAATTATCCTCCAGACGTCGACATACGGCCATGCCCTGGCGGATGAGTTTTGAAATTTTTTGGTGACAATACCTGGAGATAAGAAAAGAAAATGGAAGTGTGGAAGACGGAAGCCCTAGAGAGAGCGACTTCAGTGGCTGACCTAGTCGCAACCTCCGCAGTGCATGCTTCTCATTCCCTTCCATTTTTTCAAAAAGTTTGCTATTTTTGAAGAAAATTTGTAAAGGTATCTTCCGGACGTCAACTTACGGCGATGCCCTGACACAGTTGTTTCATGCCTTTGCCTCGAATGTGGTTCCAGCTGATGTCCAGTTCGACCAGACATTCTGACTGAGCAAGACCACGTCCGAAGGGAATTGCAGTTCCCTCGCCAAACTTATTTTTGGATAAGTTTAAGTGGACCAGCTGAAGAGAAGTCTAGGAGACAAGAACGAGAAAACACTTAGAAATCGTCCTCCGAAGGCGTGGATACAGTCCCGCTTTTGCATTACAGAATAAAAATCTAGCTGACCTCCACCATGTGTGGTCGGGAAACACTACATTAGCAAAATCGCCTGATGTCTTAGTTTGCCAACATGCGCTTCGCAAGTGACCCTATACGAAGTCAACTGATCCAAATGACTATTCCTCAACGTCTTTGTTTAACAGGCCATTTTCAACACGATTATAATGGAGAACCGCGGTGGACAGCTCTGGTTCTACTGAAGGTGTAAACCACAATCGTGCAATAATGTGACAAATACGAGAACAAAACTTCATAATTCCGCTGTCAATCATGGTAGGGCGATGCTGCCCGATCACGTGCATGCTAAGAGGATCATTCGGAGGAAGAGAGCAAATAACATGCATTTGTAGCCAATAGCAATCTCGAGAAACTCTGCCTGTCCTTGTGATGCCTCGACTTACTCCCTCTCTTACCTGTGTCCTAAATACGATCTTTCGTAATTACAACGGACTTTGTCCGTTCAAACTTTTTTCTCCAAGCAGAAGAATGTGCGTGAAAGCGTCTTAACTCTCCTAGACCAGTGGATGTTACGAAAGTAAAAAAAATCACATGCGATAACTTCGCCCTCGTAGCCGGCAATAGCGATCATTACAATCATCATCATCATCATCATCATCATCATCATCATCATCATTATCATCATCATCATCATCATCATCACCATCATCATCATCATCATCATCATCATCATCATCATCATCATCATCATCATCATCATCATCATCATCATCAGCAGCAGCAGCAGCAGCAGCATCATCATCATCCTCATAAGCAGCATCATCCTCATCATCATCATCATCATCATCACCACCACCATTACCACTATCATCATTGTCGATACAAGCGAAGATGCGAGTTCCAGGAACTAGTTGATCAGATGAAGAAGCGATCGCTGGAACAAGGGCTTTATTCGCCTGATATTTCGGATTCTCACTCGAACCCATCATCAGAGACAGTGGCAGAAAAGGGGAGGGGGTTCAAGTGAGAATCCGAAACGTCAGGCTAATAAAGCCCTTGTTCCAGCGATCGCTTCTTCTTCTTCTTCTTCTTCTTCTTCTTCTTCTTCTGACTACCACTATTATTATTATTATTATCATTATCACCATCACCATGACTTCTGTGCCGGTTTCAGCCTCGCATAGCACTATTATTGAGGCTGTAGCGAACACCAAGGGCAACAAATTTATGTTGGCAGCGAGAGCCTGTAGACGATGATAAGCTGTGATGGCATGAGTTCTTAAGGTTAATAACTTTTGTGTTCCATATTTTTTCAGTCATCCAGCTCGCTTCCCTTCCATCCATATCCACTACCGAGGTAGGTCGGCGCTGAGCAACACCTTTCCTAGTATCATTACTCTTTTCCGGGTATCTACTTTGGGTCCCCATGTTCCGAAAGCTTCGTTTGGTCCCTTCAGAAGCAAGCCCTTGAAGCAGTGTCGTAGCAGAAAACCCAATTAAAAAGCGCACCTCGACATCCACACACTATGAGTTCTGCACAAAATATGGACACCTTTTAAAGCCAGGAGGATGCTGAACATGCAAAACCTTTTTGCAATTTGATTTTTCAAAAGCTCTCCCGCCATGATCTTGTCTTCTTGATACTTGAAGGTCACTCAGCTTTACCGCTTGCCATTAGCGGCGGACCGTCAGAACTCAGCACTGCACAGCAGTATGCCCGGCGTGACCGGCTAGTCCGTCATCACTCTTGTAGAGAGATCGATGCTGAAGTTTGTCGTGCTAAGGACTGTGGCTTGCCGGAGGTTACGTAAAATCGAACATTTAATTCGCCGCCAACCGTCATTCTCCGTGATTGTATACTGCTTCCCGGGGGTATTTGATCACGACAACAAGGCAATGATTTCCGACACGGGTTGCTGAGCAAGTCTGTTTCGTGGCTGAAGTTTGTCTGTGCCCGAGTCCAGTCCACGCAGTGATAACCCTCACACGGACGTCTGTAAATCTACCTCTGCATGCTTAATAGCATCGACTTCAGAGTCATCAATTGCAAGTCGTCAACTTGGCTTTTGACGTTTCTCTGGTTGCCGAGCCGGAAGTTGTCATTTTCGACATCACAGGCTCTCGATGAATATAGTCAGAGCGCGGGACTCTAGCCCTCCAGTAGCCTGAAAACGCTATTAAGTCGTAGCTCGCTAGACAGAATTGGAGTGGGTCGGTCAGATAGTTTTCTGTAACTCCTAGAGTCAAGAGTGAACATCTTCTTCGACTCATGCAACATGCTTGTTTAAGTTTATAGGACTGTGCGAGATGGGAAAAAGTCTTATTTAATGGTGGGCCACTTCCGCCAAATCGTATAACTTCTTTGGCCTGAGACCATGTTGTGGGTAACCACATGCTCCATAAATGCCTATTCGTCAGACCCGAAAGTCTGCGCATTCCACAAGCGGCCCAATCTGAAGGCCGTTCCGCCGCCTGTGGGCACACCAGGTAGTCTGCAGCCCAGCTGAAAGATAGGTCCTGTCTTCTCAGAGTTTTTACTGTCCCCGCTAAGCTACTGCTTGAAGACTTTATTGTAGAGATCGTCGACTTAAGGAAATTTGTTGCTGTAGGCACCCATAGACACTGCAGAGGAATGCAAGCTTAAAGAGGGTTTGGGTCAGTATGTATTTCTACTTCGTTCCATCGGCGGTAACAAAGGTGGAATCTTCTTCACCGTAAACAATGCTGTCATCATTCGTCTGTTGTAGCATATGCACGAATATATCCAGTCGGTCAAATTTCTTCGTTGTTTTTTTCGCATTCTCTAACCCACCGCGATACCGGAAATCTTGACGATATTGAGTAATTTCATGCTGCACTTACTTCGCGTAGTATTCATTTTTGTTTTGTCGTCTCCAAAGTCAGCGGCCTTGGGCGTCAGTGCGGCCCATGGTGAGCCCTTCATTAATCGCCATCAGGTTGTGTTCTGACACTAAACACCGATGACTTCTGGGTACGGCATTCCCTTCAGGCCTGCCTCAACCATAAATGGCAACTTTTTTATTGGGCAAACACGCCGACTTTGTGGATAATTTTACTTCCGGTTGGGAAAGTGTGAGACCATGTAGTCTAAGACGGCGAATTACCATCCTATCAACAGCAGCCGGGGTCTCAGACAGACGGTGGAGCCCCCATTCAAGATGTGGTCCGCAATTCGAAGGCGCAGACATCAGATAGCAAAGATCACGGCCTTAGGTAAGCAGCGGTCGTGGATCAAATTTCTTTGCGACGGAGTAGGATGACTTTGGCCGTAACATTTAACACTCGATGCTTTGTCGAAGCTTTGCTTTTGGACGCGAAGCGCTCCGTTCGGCTCGACGGTGGGAAACCTTTGCCCTTCGAGAGTCGTCAACATATGCGCAGATTCGATTTCTGCACAGGTGTCTCGACAACAATGTGATGCCGAAGTGTGACTCATACAAACCTCCGGTCAACACAGAGCTGGCGAGACGCGCAGTAATTCAGCACGGCCGACGAATGATCCGAGTGCTCCTTCAAGACTGTCACTCACGGATTCGCAAATACCGTCAGAGGATTGACCAAGAGAAAGCAAGGTGATGCGAGTTCATGGGCGAGGACGGCACTAAACTGCTTCAGCAGGGGCTGGCCGAACGAACCCGTTAACATAAAGCAACACGCGAAGCAGCCTTAGAGAACAAATTTCGTGAGTTTCCCGCTCCAATGTCATCCAAGAACGACAAACTTGTGCACAACTTGTCGCCAAGGGAGCTGATGGAGGAACAAGTGCAGGTTTTGCGGTATGAGGCCTCATTCAACACAGCCGATGCTAAACCTGCCAACATGATCGCAGCAGTGGAATCCATCCTCAGCCAGACGGGAGCGACAGACGAAACGAAGAACCTCATTCGACACCAAGTGTCCTCCCTCCTCATGGCTCATAGGCCGCGCGACGTGCTTGCCAAGGTCGAGCGCGATGCACTTAAGGAACCCAGGGCCGACAACGACCTCGTTATCGTGCCTGCGGACAAGGGGCGTTCAACGGTCGTATTGGACAGGACAGACTACAATCTGAATGTCAAAAGCTTGTTGGAGGATCGTCAGTCCTATGTTCCATGCGAATCCAACCCCATGAAAACGCTCACAGGCGAGACTGACGCGACGCTGTTGGCAATGGAGAACTCAGGTGCAATATCGAAAATCGACCGACGCACGGCGAGAGCACAAGAAACGGCCCTAGCCCGATTCTACGGTCTTCCAAAAGGGCACAATGAGGGCGCTCCTCTCCGGCCTAGCGTATCACTAAAGGGCACCCCAACCTACGGGCTGGCAAAGTGGCTGTTCCAACATCTCAAGTTTCTGACCTCCGATTCGAACACCACGGTCAGCTCGTCAACGACATTCTTGGAGATACTTAAAGGAGTAAGCTTCCTACCAAGCGATTTCATTGTTTCCTTTAATGTCACGTTCCTTTTTACTTCTATCTCACAGGACATGACAGTCGAGACCACCGAACTACTCCTACGAGAGAAATACGGCGAAACGGAGAATCGTCTCGGACACGCCAAATCATCCAGCTCCCGAAGTTCTGTCTCAAGACCTACTTTAAGTTCGACGAAACAATCTACGAGCAGGTGGAGGGAACGCCAATGGGTGCACCGATTTCGGGACTCATAGCCGAGGCGGTTCTACAACGGCTGAAGTCGCTGGTTTTCCGACATCACAGACCGAAATTCTGGGCTCGGTATGTGGATGACACTTTCGTCGTCATCGAACGGGATCAGGTGTTGACATTCAAAGAACATCTCAACGCCGTCTTCCCAGACATTCAATTTACGATGGAGGAGGGGAAAAATAACCAGCTGGCCTTCCCGAATGTCCTCGCCTGCCGCAAAGATTGTGGTGGCCTAAAAACCAAAATGTCCAGGAAAGCGACAAATACGACGCAAATACTGAATTTCAATAGCAACCACCCAATCAGTCACGAACGCAGTTGCGTAAGGGCGCTATACCGGCGCGTTGAGACGCGCTGTAGTGAAATGGAAGACAAAGTTGCTGACTTATAATATCGTCGAGGGGTAATGAGAGCCAATGGCTACCCGCGCAACTTTTTCAACCAGTGCATACAAAAACGACACCAGAGACCAAATCCAACTGGCCCCAAATGTTGGCGGGCTCTTCCGTACGTGAGAACGTCTTGGAAGCCGTCAGTCGTCTTCTCACTTCACTTGGAGTTGGCGTTGCACACAGGCCGGAAGTAACCATTAGGCGCCAAGTCATGAGGCCAAAAGAACCGCTGCCACGGCAGGAAACGTCTGGAGTCGTTTACCGGATCTGGTATAGTTGCGGACAAAGCAACTATGTTGGAGAAACTGGGAGATTACTCCGTACGCGAATTGCCGAGAACGCAGCAGCAGTGAGGCGGGGAGACGCTCGCTCTCAGGTGGCGGCACACTCGACGGGACCCGGCCATATTTTCAAATTTCAAGAGACCAAAATCCTCGCAAGAGGGTGACAACCGCGTGAGCAGCGAGCTGCTCGAGTCACGGTTCTCAGGCCCACAATCCATCAACAAGCACAATGACCTCCCGGTATAATATTACGTGCTGAGATTTTCCCTGGGCAGGGGAATCAGTCACGTGGGGAGGGCGCGGGCGAGCAAGTATCCCAGTGACGGTGAGCCTATTTGTCGAGCAAACGTCACACCGGCATCGAGCACGGATGACGAAATCACGGCCATTAACGATTCGGACTCGGACTGACAAGGCACCACCGCATCACTTACGACCCCAGCGCTGATTGAGAGAGCTGTTAATTACAGCGCGCACATGGTCCCACGGCAGCAACGTGCTATAAATACTGCACTTCTTGTGCCACCACCACCTTTGTCTGCGAATGTCTCTGATTATGGATTCGAGTGAGAATCCGAACCGTCAGCCCAATAAATTTCTTGTTCCAGTGATCGCATCTTCGTCTTCTGAACTCGATGCTTTGTCTACTGCTGGAGCATGCGACTATCTACGGACACCTCCAGAGTCGGTAAAGCATTGCGAGCAAGTTGCATGCGACTACTTATTGCTTTCAGACAGTGATCCGTTTGGAAGGATCGAGATGAAAATACGTTGTTCTCCGTGGAGTGTTGTCCACAGAATTGAATCTAAGGCATCGTTTAAAAGGACTTGGCAAAAATATCACCCTTAACAAACGCCAGCGGTGACGGCAAAATGCTCCTTCCCTATATAGTATATCGTTCCACGTAGGAGCCGATATACATTATTCGGAATCTCTAATATACTGAAAGGATAGGAAAAATGGTTCGAGTGGGATACAAGTTCAGCAGCCGATAGGTCAACTGCCGGAGGATTATATATGAAACACGTGGGATCTCTCTCATCGCTGCTCACTGAAAAAGCCCTCTGGGAGTGTACCTACTTGCGAAATGAATTCTCTGAAAACAATCGGTCTTATTACCAACAGCACATAAACAATAGACGGTTGAAGATAATCGTTTGTCTTGCTTTTCATCCTATCTTTTCTTATTAAATTACTAATTAGGAGTTTTCGAATGCAGCTTTTTGCAGACAGAACACCAGAGGGTAACAATATCTTTTAGGTCCGAAGCTCCGTTATATGGGAACTAAAATAAACGTTCAATTAATCGCGAGTTGTCAGGCATGAAATGAAGCCATGCCTGATTATGCTTCTTAGCAAGTGAAACACTGGAAGGCATAAAGCTTTTCTGATTAGTAGTAAGGTGTTCTGAAAGTTGGACATAGAATAGGAGCAAAAGTGATTTTTGACAGCTGGCAATAATTTATTTACGAAAGTGAACGTTCGGTGGACCAAATAGGCGAAACTTTCGTCCCTCTAAAGCGTGGTCGAATGATCGAAAAATCTCATGGAACAATAGAACCGTCCATTCCTTAGCCATGGCTTAAGGACTGTTTGACTGGAATGAAGACATAAATGCTTCGCGACTTTTCGTCAAGTCGTATATTCAGTAAAAGTAGGCTTTGGCGTACATTTTAGGATACACAGGCAACATTTCTCTTGGAATAACCACTTACAAATTGTGATCCCGAAAACGTTTTAATAAACAGCAACACTTACGGCCATTAAGTCAGAAAAGAAGTTTGCCGACTCGTCGCTGAAAAAATTTTCACTCAGATCCAACCAGGTTAACTGAGCTACGGATGCAAGTGTGTCACACATTTCTTCGGTCTTCGCATCCGTAAAGCGATTGTCCGCCAGTGATAAATGCTCAATGAATACGTTTTCGGAAAACAGTTGGCATAGTGCTGAAACGCTCTGCAAAAAAGGGAAGCGTTACTTCCATTACAAAGCTGGATGCGGATTCAAAAATCAGGTAAAACGAGTGAAAAAGCCAAAACTTCTTGCAAATGAAACTGTAATTCGATTACATAATAATATTAAAAGAGTACATGTTGACTAGCAAGCCTTTTAATAAGCAATACTTGGAGCTTCCTCAGTTGTATCTGTAAAAAATTACAGAAACGAGCTCGAATGCAGTACAACACTTCCTAAAATTATTTTAAGCGAAAACGGACACCTTATTTCTAATCTCTTGGGGAATCACAACAGCCCTATTCATTTAATGCGGACTTTTATTTCAGTTCCATACTTAAATGGTCGAATAATACCTTTTTAATTTGTGCTGGTCAAATTCGAGTCGTATTTGTATCAATAATTGAGTGTGTCGCTCCTTATGCAAAGTGCAAACAGGGTTCCCGGTAAACTGTGAAAAATTAAACAGATCCAAAGACAGTGTTCCCGTTTTAACAAGAAACTCAAATTCCCCTCATTTAATGTGGCCATACGCAAAAAGTGCACTAAGCTGAATTCGCGTATTTTAAATATGACGTAACCACCTGCATTCCCTTACTTCTGGAGATACCATAAACTTATTAGGCTGAGGAGGCTATAAAGGGTAGTAAAAATAAATCAACAAATGTTCTAAAAGTCGCGTAGTTCCTTTTTCGAGAAAAAATATTTATAGAGTTTACATGTATATTTGGCCTCAGATAAGTAAAGTGTTGGGAGTTGGTCAAATATATACTTCTTTTAAAATGCCTTTGTCATTTAAGTCGAAGTTAAGTTGTCACAGCAGACCAAAAAACGTAAAACTTAGCATAAGTAAGTCAACATCCGCGAAACTAATAGCCTTATCTACCATCATTAAACGTGATGTGCTTCGTTAATAATAATACTCATGTTCACTATATCGCCCCTTTATTTGATGTTTTAAAAAGTCGGTATGAATCTTAACAAAGAGTTACTTAACAGCTGTACGTGCAGGCATTGCGAAACAAAAAGAATATAAAAATAGAAAACTAAAATCAAGTATAATGCTCAAAAGGCGTAACACACTAGAAGGTTTTTGAGCGTACGCAAATAAAATGAATACTAATGTTCCAGCATCTTACGGGTAAAAAGTGGTTTTCACTCAAAATAGGGACACAATTTCAGGAATTTCAGATCGGACCTCAATGTTGCGCAAATTAAAAACAAGTGGAGAAATTACTGCAGTATGAAGTCAACTTAATAGCAAGACCAGTCGTTTTTGAAGTGGTTCGTTTGGTTTCCGCCAGAAGAATAAAGTTTAAAGCAACAATCAAAACTTATTCGTTAAGAAGCGTGGCATGATTAAGAAATTATTTGGAAAGAATGATAATGAACGAGACAGCAGCATACGCATAAGCGTTAAAAGCCACTTCGATTTATTTAAGTGATATAGCTACTTTGCATTCGTCCTTGGTAAGACAAAGTTCATTTATAAAACATTAGATTCAAGCTACACTAATCATTTGCCAGGTGAAAATGAGTACATACTCAGACAGTACTCAATACAATAAGCATGCACAGGCTTATTGTATTCTACATAATAGGGAAAATCCGAGGAAGCTTTGCAAGCTGTAGCTGAATTACCTCAGTAAAGTACTTTACCTTCGCAAAAGGAGGGGTCCACAAACACTTAAACAACGTATAACGAATTATGACACATCTAATAGAAATTAAAAATCATGATAACTTACTTCATCACCTAACCAGTTGTGACTGAGATCAAGTTTAGTTATAAATTTGCTCTGGCTTAGACTTATGGCCAGAGGTCTGAAGTCTTCTGGGCTAATATCCGCATGTCGCATAACTAGTTCACTGTCTCTCATATGTCTAATATAATACCCCAGCGGGACAACACCTCGTTTGGTACATTCAAAAACGTAATCTTCGGCAAACGTATCCTTTGATTCAGCAACACTACTAATAGAATGGCGCGGTTTTGCATCGAGAGGCAACTCGTCAACATCAATTGGTTTAACTTCGTTGGTATCATGTTCCACATTCATCTCGCCATCTCCTTCCGTCTGGCCAGCCTCGATTCCGTTAGGTTTTTCTTCATTAGTCTGTGCATTCGGTTCTTCTGCTTTAGGTTCCGAATTAGGGGGCGCTTCATCCGATGTAGGAGCAACAGCCTCAGTTCGCTTGTCCGCATTATTATCGTTATTATTTATCGTTGCGTCGCCCATCAAGGAAAGATTGCACCCGAAATATACGTCAACGATGACCTTCTCGATAATAGGCAGTACAAAATGGTCGTTCGAGCAGACAACTAACTGTTCTGCCAACTGCAGATCTCTTAATAAAGAACGTAATTTATCAAAGTATTTGGATATGCATATAACCCCAATCAACTCATGGGACGTGCATTGCCACTCGATTTAAGTAGACCTCGGGACATTCTAAATTCGGCTAAATATATGCCTCTTGAAGCATGAAGAAGCTCATAGGTCTGAAAACCTCCCAAATTGCTAAATTACACCGCAGACAGACGTGAATGCTAAACTGAAGCACAACCCAACGGAAAAATCTCACAAATGCCAACAGGGCTGTACAGATTAGGCAGCATACAACAACCCATGCAGAGCACTAAATGCGCGTGTGGTGAGCTGCATTTGTGTGACTGGATTCTTAAAGCGTTCTAAAACAACGTTTAACAGGTCGTAGTTAGCCACGGTAGTTGAAAGCCTGAATTACTAATACCGAAAATAGTCAATATGATTTTGGCACAACTCAACTCCAAAAAAGTCTAACTGAACTGGTGAGTTCCATACTCAAAACAGATAGGATACTCTTTCGTCGCAATACACGCAGAAACTTTCTCGTTTGTTCGAAAAAGCAGTGAAGCCATGGCTTTTCCTCGCGCGCAGAATTCGTCCGTAGGGCATCGTTTAGCAAGTTTGTCCATGATGTTCCAACACGTTGGTCTTAACACCGTCCTCATGCTGATCCTCACAGAAAATTACTAAATCAAAAATCTTGTTTGCCAAGTCAATCAGTTAATTGGTCAGTATGCCGTTAAGCTCCTCCGAACACATTATAACGGGCATCTGTGCCTCTTCTTTCGTATAATACCCCTCTACGTAATCCCAAGACTTAGTAAAATAGCTTACGATGTTTTTGATATTTCTTCGTGAGTCCTTTATGCTGTTTGTGCATCCACCGAGGATGTCATAATGGCCAGTATGACTTTCAGTTAAAGAATTTTTCCGCTATTACCCCAATTGAGTGGACTTATAACATGCAACGGGTGATATTGCGGTTATTATGGTTTATATTTATCATATGACCGGAGCTTTACCCACCCGCACTGCCTCTATACCGCCCCCTGATGCTGTAATTGAATTATGCAAAGAATAATTTTTAACTGATTAATTCTGTGGAACTTGCTTCGATTTCGGGATCGTTTAGTTCCCAGGAAATGAGGGCGACAAACTATCCGGGTGAGTGAGAATGTAAGCCCTCACGGAAACCTTGATTGCACAGTTAAAGCTATAAATGCCTCGTGGCGCTGTAACCATGACGTTTCAAGGCTGTAGGAGCGGCGCGCGTTAATACGCGCTCTTTCGAATACCAAGACTCGAACTTCCCGCCGACCAGTCATAACACAGGCCCCTAAACTACGACCAATTATGATCGCCAGGGATAGTATCAGAATAATAATGTTTGGAAAATTTTTCGAGTTTACATCCTAGTGCGCGCGTAAAGCTGACAGCGTAACTGTATTATCCGCCTCAGCTGAACACATAGCACGAAATCTCTGGAACAGCACGCTACTTAAATTGATATTCATTAGGTATTCTAGATTTTACCTTCGTACTGAAACTCAACAAATAGTAGGAGACTGAAAATTTGCATTTTCACTCCTCAACATCGTCTGAGGTACCCACTTGCATTGTTTGAAAATCAAATATTTGTTCAAACTCTCACGAATATTTTCGTCTCAACAAACCGAAATTATTGAAAATAAACTCGTCCAACCACTATGAGAAGATATATTGAGGCTCGAAATTTGTACAATCTACTTAACCAGGTGGTCTTCAATGCATACATAAGTGATCCTTACTTTATTCTCCTCATTGGTAAGTTATATAATTTTAAACCCATTGAGAGATGTGAGAAAGCCAGAACAGTACAACGAAGCTCATATAAAGCACGCTATCAACTTGAAAATGGTTAGGAATTACTCCCGTTATTATCGATCAAGAACGGTGAAAACGAATTTCAGCTACCATTTGGGATTGGCTTAGAATGGAAATGGAATATTATCGTTTATGACCAAGACACGTTCAACCTACTTGTTGATAGTAAGCAACATTGCATCGTCATTTTTCTCTTAGGTCACATCGCTGCTGCCTGCAATTTCTTAATGAATAGTGGCGCCTTTTGTCAAGTCAGGGTTCTTAAAGGTAGTATTCCGCGGCTATTTCGTATTTAGCAGGTGGCTTCCGATATTTCACAAAACTATACCCGTTTATGAGGACGCAAAAGGTCCTTTATCTGCCACGGGTATTTGCGCATTAAATGTTCATGTCTTTTAGGAAATCGAAAGTGAAGTGACTTACCCTTTGGAGGTCATACCAGACTTTTTATTCCTTTCGGTCAAAAGAAATTCCGAAACTGAAGAAGCATTAAAAGATTTACATATATTTGCCAAGGTGTTCCTCTACTCGGAGGAAACCGTGAGGTATTTGACTTATACATATGTTACCATAATAATTAAAGAAAACGTTTACTTTTGCGAAGTCCTGATTTTTTATTCTGTTTTTAGTGTCCAAAAACGATGTTATAATGTGTGCTTTATTAGAGTCTACTTTACGTACTTTGTTTTGTAGGGTGCCTTCTTGTATCTCGCACTGGATTACACCTTTCGATGCCTTTGCGCTCAGAGTGCAAAGACTGTTTATTAGCTGGCCGCTTAACGTTATATTCATTAATATCTCCGCTGGGCACGCAATTACTTTTGCGGAAGCGTGACTTTTTTGAGATGAGTATGTTTGGCATGTACAATGCCATTTTCTAAATCGAATTTAAAACTCGGCTAATTCCATTATATTTTGGAAGAATGTCTCTTAAATTATTTCGAGGCAATACATATCCGATTTGGAAAATATGTTGGACTCTTAAGAGTCGAGATTATTAATCAGTAATCATTAGTGAACTAAAAACGATGACAACAGGCCACGCCAACTTTTTCTCCGGGTTTTCCGTTGAGATAAAAATTAACTTGGGAATTTTCAACGACTGTTAGCAGTTTGCCTGTTCGGGAATGAATGTACGCACAAAGGTTTTCTTAACCATACATGACTTTAAGATTTTCTCGTCGAATATGGATGTAAAACTTGCTAATACGAAATATGAAAAAGAAACCGTGCAGAAGCAACAATAATCAAGGCGAGTAAAGCGCAAAAACGGTACATTCTGATTTAGAATTGATCCCAATCTCCATTGCTCATTGTGATCGTATGTGTGATTCATGTGCATCGTTAGCAAATGAAAAATCATTACTCACAAACTACTTGTTTAACTTGCAACACTTAGCAAATCATAAGAGCAATTCATGTGCCTTTAGAAATGCGTATGACAGACTGACATAAAATTTTACTGGATCGATGAGGAAGGTTTGACTATTAATGCCGTCTGCGTTTGTTTTACCCAATTTCGTTTAATACAATCGTCATTTCGTGGAACATCGTGAACAGTAAAGCCGTCCAAACTTATTCGCGTCGCTCAAAGCGTAGTGCTGCATTATTGAACAGGAAATTAAAGGGAATTCATAAATAACAAGTCCTTTGTGGATATATGCACACTTACACTAAATTCAAACCAGGTATATAACTGACACATAAGCTTTTTCTCCAGAAATCTTGTTAGACTTTCTTTGCCAAGTCCGGACAACAATGTCCTACAGTTTCCAACACGGAACCTTAAAGCATATGGTTTAATTTAAGCAAAGCAAACGCACATGGCTGACCTCCCGGATATCCAGGCAGCATTCTAATATGAAAACAATGCTCCATATCTGTTGATAATTGACAAGTGCCATATCGTTGTGACCGAAAACACTCCGTTAAACATGACTGTTGAACACTTTCGTGTAACACTGCGTCTTGTGTGGCTAAAGTAACTAGCTGCAGTCAGCGCGTCTGCAATGCCTGTCCATTTGACCTATGTCTCATTCTGGCTACCGCCAATGTACCCCATCAGAGTAGAATAGTAAAAACTCTAGTCTGATGATTTGTGGTAATGAGCTGCAATCACAGAAAATGAACAGGTTATGAGAGATTTTGTTGGTTATGATATTCAGAATGCCTGCTTGCGTTTTGGAAATCCCAGTAGTTTATCTTTGTACCGTTTGGTTACAATTTTGGCTTTTCTGCTTAGTGAAACTGTTGTCTGCGGGATCTTTAAAACTGAATGGTCCTATTGACGCCGTTTCTTGTTTATTTTATTCCATGAGAAAAATCGTCTGCTTTCCATAAGCTAAATTCCTAGTGGTTCTCCGCGATTTGTCATACTCTTCCTTGATTGCATGAATAATATGTGCTTTCCAGAAAACTCTCAAGGGGATTTTAATATCGATGCGCAGCTGATAATGTTATTGTAGTCAGGCAATAACTCGGGAATATTTTCTATTGGGCGATCGGGAAATAAGGGTCCAGAAACTTTTCGATACCTCGTTTCAGACGTTTAATCGTCAGAAGACAACATTCCATTAGTTTCCACAAGAAAGTGCCACCAGGCAGTTGATGATCGAATTCTGGTTGTCTGGGTTGTCTCTCGAACTGCCCTTGCCTAGTTTGATGCTTTGGCCCCTTACATGTGTCGAATCTGCTTCTATTTGAGCCTTTGCCTCAAGCTTTATCGATTACATACTTTTAAAGCATGCAATTTTAGTGCAGATTCTTTTTGTTAGGGTCGACGATGCAAAGAAAATGCACTATGCATTTCCATTGGAAACATCAAAGAACAGTGATATGTTCAACTATCTGAACGATTGCTGTGAATTTCTGAGTAAGTCTTGCCGAGGTAGAACATCGTTGCTTTTAAATTTCTCTGACAATTAACAGCTAACTGGAGTAAATCAGTGTGAACAAAGGTCTATAGGCGCAGACCCAAATTTTAATGTGGATATCTGGGCCGAAGTCCATCAGCCACAGCGGGATGACCGTTTTGCTGCCAGTGTGGT